CTCTAGTAAATTCTATTAAATGAATTATTTTTTCTTGTGTGCCAGCACTGTGTTAGGTGCTGGGGGGAGAGACATTTAGTTCATAGGATAGGATTTGGAACTAGAAAGGACTTTAGCCCAGGAGTTCTTAACTACACACAACTAAAGACAATATGGGCTTACTGATAAGTTTTACCAGCTTACATGACTAGTTCTATGCATAAAGAACATAAGTTTGTCAATTGTGTAAAGGATGTGTGGGATAGAGTGGAAGTTAGAAGATGTTTTAGGAAGCTCCTGAATAGCCTAGGCAGGTGGCAAGGAGGGCCTGTACTGTACAGAGGTAATGGGAAAAAAGGGTAGGAGGAATACAAGAGATGACAGAGAGGGAGTTAACATGCCTTGCCACCTGATTGGCTGTGAAAGGTAAAAAAGTGTCAATGATAACACCATGGCTTTGAACATGAGTAGAGCTATTGAAATAATGAAGTTGGGTAGAGGAACAGATTTTGGAAAAATAAGTTTGATTTCAGATCTGTTAGTCTGAGATGTCTCTGGGACACAAAAGTAGAGATATTCTGTAGGCAAAACAAGGTATGTTTAGAGCTCAGGGCTACAGACTTGGTTATCTGTGTAGAAGTAATAGTGAATGAGATATTAGGGGAGAGACCATACAGAGGACAGAAGAGGACTCAGAACAGATAGGGAGATGAGGAATTATTAAAGGAATCAGAGAGGTAGTGATGTCTATTTCATCACAACAGAAGTATGACACCTCTGATGGTAAGTGAAAGAAAGAGTTATACAGGAGGGGACTGGCCAACAAATATTGAATGTTGCACAGTGCTCTTGGAGGATGAGGACTAAAAATTGACATCTGATTTGGTGACTAGGATTGGGGGCCTTTGAAAGCACAGTTTTGATAGAAAGGGTGATGAGGAAGTGGAAGTAGTAAGTGAAAGCAATAATCCTGCATTTCTAACTTGCTGCTAGACATTCTGCCAGCCCCTCCAACTCAATATGTCTAAAACTAATCATTTTTTCTTACCTCAGTTGTACCCCTACCTGACTTCCTTTTTATTATCATTCTGGCTTAAAACCTTAAAGTAGTCTTTAACTCTTCCTTCTCCATTGCTCATACATCTAGTCAGTGGCCAAGTCTTCTTAATTCTTCCCTCATCAATACCTTTCAAATTCATCCCTTCATTTCCATTTCCACAACTTCTGTTCTAGTTCAAGTCCCTATCTAAACTGCTGTAATTGTTTAGTTGGCCTCTTTGTCTTTGGTTTTTGATTCTTCCAGTGCATTTGCACATTGGTCTAAAACGAATTTTCCAAAATATCACTGTTTGACTCAATGTCCTACAACCTTTAATGGCTCCATGATTGCCTGTTAAATTTTATTTTTACTTGATATTTTATTGAATATCTTTAGCTTCCACTGAAACTGCATTCTCCTAAGTTACAAATGATCTCTTAGTTGCCAAATGCAATGGCCTTTTCTCAATCCTATTCTCCTTGACCACTCTGCAGCCTTTGGCACCGTTGATCACTCTCCCTTCCTTGATGCTCTCTACTCTTCTAGGTTTTTTGGACACCACTCTTTCCTGGTTCTCCTCCTATTTATCTGACTACTCCTTCTTTGTCTCCTTTGCTGATCTTCTTCCACATCACATCCTCTAACAAGTGTCCTTATGGGTTCTGTCCTGGGCCCTTTTCTATACTTCACTTGGTGATCTCATCAGCTTCCATGGATTTAATTACCATCTCTATGCTGATGACTCTCAAAACTACTTATTCTGCCCCAATCTCTCTGTTGACTTTTAATCTTGGATCTCCAATTGTCTTTCAGAAATGGATGTCCAGTAGGCATCTTAAACTCAAATTATGTCCAAAATTGAACTCTTATCTTTTCCCCTAAATCCTTAATCCCTTCTGTACCCCCCCCCCCCCCCATCAATGTAGAAGGCAACACTATCCTCCCAGGCTTTCAGGCTAGCAACCTAGAACTCATCCTGGACTCCTCAGTATCTCTCACCCCCCCCCCCCATCCAAGCTGATACTAAGGCCTATGTCAATTTCACCTCTGCAACATCTCTTGAATATGGTCTCCTTCTCTTCTCTGACACTGCCACCACCCTGTTGTCCTCATCACCTCACACCTGGATTGCTGTAATAGTCTGCTGGTGGGTCTGCCTGCCTCAGATTTTTCTCTATTCTAGTATATCCTCCATTCAGCCACTCATGTGATTTTCCTAAAGTGGAGGTCCAGTAATGCCACCCACCCCCATACTCTTCTTGACTTCATGACTTCTTATTGCCTCTAGGATCAAATGCACAATACTCTGCCATTCAAAGCCCATCATAATCTAAGCCCCCTCCTGCCTCCTTCTTTCCAATCTTCTTACACCTTCCTTCCCAAACAGTACTCTTTGATTTAGTGCCACTAGTCTCCTAGTTTTTCCATGAACAAGACACTTCATCTCTCAGCTCTGGGCATTTTCTCTGACTGTCCCCCATGCCTGGAATGCTCTCCCTCCTCCACTGCAACTACTGACTTCCCTGGCTTAAGTGCCAACTAAATTCCACCTAAAATTCCATCTTCTATAGAAAGCTTTTCCCAACCCCTCTTAATTCCAGTGCCTTCCCTCTATTAATTATTTCCTGTATGTTGCTTGTTTTGTATTTATTTGCTTGCATGTTGTCTCCCCCATTAGACTGTAAGCGCGTTGAAGGCAGCGACTGGCTTTGGTCTCTTTTTGTATCCCCATCGCTTAGCACAGTGTCTGGCACATAGGTGGGGCTTAATAAATGTTTATTCATTTACTGACCACACCACAACATGTGCCCATCCTTTATTACTCAATTCATCCTCCCTCCTGTAGCCTTCTCTAATTATCCACAGCACCATTCTTA